GGGGTGAATAACACGAGCTGTTTTCCTGTCCCTCATTCTGCAACTATGCCGTACCCCACGGGAAACAATAATGTGAAACTCCACCAGGATTTAAAAAAAAGCTAGTATTGCGTCCCTTTTCGCTACATGTGTACCACAATTGGTCTCTGACTCTCTTTTAACTTTTAAGCACAAGTAGGCTGTCCCGAAAACTGCTGTTTTGATAAAAATCGAGGGTAAAGTTTTTACCCCTTGTTCAGTAGGCCTTTAAAAGACTGGGAGATTTTTCTCTATTACCTAACAAATATACACACGGATGAAACCAAACTTCTCCTATAGGTAGGTTCATTTTTGGTGTAGGTCGAGATTTCTGGAAACCCTCGAAATCTGGGTTAACCCGCTTGTCCTTAAAAGCGACCAATTTTACAGCGAATAATAATGTTACGATTATTATTATTATTACAATGAAAAGTTGGTTTCAGTTTTGCGACTCTTTCAAATTGATAGAATAATTTAAGTTTCACTTGTTAGCACACATTACCCTTTGGTGTGCCTGTTCACATGTATGCTTCATTACACTACTTCTACAGGTATGCTTCATTACTTCCACGTGAACGCTGCATTACTTCCACATAGACTGCACTGCTTCCAAATGAGGGCTACATAACTGCCACATGAAAGCTACATTAATTCCACGTGAGGAGTACACTACTTCCAAACGAAGGCTACATTACTTCCACAAGAAGTCTATATTACTTTCCTGTGAGGTGTACATTGCTTCCACATGTATGATGCATCACTTCCACACGAAGGCTACATTACTGCCACATGAAGGCTACATTACTTCCACACGAAGAGTACATTACTTCCAAGTGAAGGCTACATTACATCCACATGAAGGCTCCATTACTTACTGACATTCGGAGTGAGGTAACCCATCACACTTATCGTTACATCGAGCGACAGTCTTGAACAACTTGCCGTTTTGCTTGGAGCAGCTCTTACAGGTTGTGGTCAGAGTACACACCACTGTGATACGTAAATTATAATAATAGTAATAGAATCCATTTGCAGAGCGCAAATTCCCACCCAACAGCAAGCTCTATGCGCTTTACAATCTACTCTAGATCTATTACCACAGCTGACATGATAGCATTCTGAAACAATCTCAACTTCCTTGGAAGACTGTTCTGTGTGTCAAATGCCTCTTTAATACTGAAAGTAGTTTATTGTTCTGTAAGAGGCTTGATAAAAGAACTCTTAGAATATCATGGGAACAGAAAAGCTGTAAAAAAAAAAAAGAAGTTATAGCACAAAACAGAATTGGTATAGAATCGCCAATACTACCCAAGAACCCAATGAAACTGAACTGTTTTCGGCATACCAAGAGCTATTATTCACTCTAGAAACATAATCGTAAAGATAACGAAAGCAGGGATTCTAAATTCAAAGAAGTGGGTGTGAAAAAGGATGCTCAAATACTGGCTACATAAGACCAATGGAAAGGGGGGGGGGGGGGGGTATTTTAATGGACAGACGTGCTGTTTTAGGTACATGTATATGGTCAAAAGTCAAATTACATAGAAAAACTTTCCAAAGTTAAAAGAGGACAAAAGAAACGGTAGTAAATAAGGAATAAATAAAATATACTACTAGTTCTAAAAGTAGAAGTCAGCCTATTTATAATATAGCTATATGTCTGTCTGTCTGTCTGTCTGTCTGTCTGTCTGTCCGTCTGTCTATCTGTCTGTCTGTCTGTCTGTCTGTCTGTCTGTCTGTCTGTCTGTCCGTCTGTCT